ATTGGGGCAACCAGTCACCAGTGATTCTGACGAGCAGACGAGCAGGTGGTTATGATGAGATGAGGACCACTCCGGCTAACCAGGTCTCATGGTCTCGGGAACCCGATGGGAACCAGTTTCCGGAAATTGGACAGGATCTATATAAAACCTGCAAAAGAAGTGGTTTCTATTCCTTTCTTTTCTTGGCTTCATGGATTGCTTCCCTTTTGGCGCTTGTCAAGTGGGCCTCCCCTACTACTCTTGGCGCTTGATAACAGTTCACCAAGTCAATCACCGAAGTCCAGAACGGAGTCAAGGACCGAAGCTCGACGGCCCCAGTTCGGTCAGTTCTTGTGGGCCACTCGGAAGGGGCAGCGAGCTGCCAGGTGGTCCACTTTGAGACCATCTCCTGTGGCCATTTCCACAACCTGGGGCTCAGTGGTGGCCATGTGGGGGCACCGACCGCGAGCGGCGCGCGCGCGCGGGTGGGCCGCCGGAGAACGGGAGGGGTTGGGAGGGGCGCGGGGTTCGATGTCTCCAGGTCTTCGCGTGGGGCCTGAACTTTGAGGGGCAGTCCGGAGCCGAGAAGAGGTGGAGAGGTGGACACAGACATGCAACCCGATGGAACCAATGGTATTTCAAGGCGAAGCAATCATGTCACACAGTGTCACCGGACATGCACATCTCAAGCATGAGGAGAAGGCAGGAGATGTTAACGGTTTCAACTATTGACCTATCCAGTGATAATGGGGTTCGTGGTTTCTTTGGAGTTTGACACAGATGTAGCCTTGAGAATCTGACAGTTTCTCTTCCTTTCCTTTCAAGGCTGGGCTTTGAGGGGCCAGCCTCCACTCCCTTGGAAGCCTCCCTTGCTGTGCCTCGGCTTGCTCACATTTCGTCGTGGATTCGAGGTTTGTAGGGCAGGTCATTCGTTCGATTTGGACAGATTGACACTTGGATGGAGATCTCTTGTGCAAAGCGCCGGCCAAATCAACACAAGCAGCAAAGAGGGTTTCGTGAAGGTTTTGCAACATTTTCCGGTTGCCTTTTGGATCGCCTATCTGCAGATGGATCACCGAAGCCAGCTTCTGTTTTCTTCCCAAAGAAGCTGAGTGACAGAGTGACAGGCGCAGGGGCACGAATCCCAGGATCTTTGCTGGAACATCCCAAGACGATCCTCGAAAAACTATGTCAAAGCTTAGGTGCCATGAGTTGCAAGAAGCTTTACACCCTCTGGTCCATAGTGTGCCCCTGCTCTGGTCTACGTCTGCTTCCGCGGGTTGGTTCAGGACTGCTTGTTCGCGGTTTTGTTCGCATTTCTGGTGGGGTCTTGCTGATTACAAGATTTACAAGTTTCTATTCAGGTGAACACCTAGTGTTCAACACCCACACAATAAGAGACACACCAAATTGCTCTTTCTGCAGGTTCTCTTGATCGCATATGAAGAAAAAAAGAAGAAGCAGCACCGCAGTTATATAATGTTATATACGTAATAGATACATATATATATATATACAGTAATATATATATATACAGTTATATATATATGCACATATATATATATATATACACATACACATTACAGAATGAGAGAGAAGACAGAGAGATTGATCCGCCGCGGCAGTGGAGTCTTCCCCAATCCGACTGGATCGATTTTGGTTCCCAGGTGTTGGAGGAACCTGTTTGCAGCCTGGCGGCCGGGCGCAGTCACTCTGCTGGGGCTCCAGAGTTGTAGAGCAGAGACCGGTAGCAAAGAAGGGGATCTTTGGTTGAGTCATGTTGAGTTGAGCTTTCGCAATCTGCAGGCAATTTGCGACTCGAAAGACGATCTCTTCACACATTCGTTCTTGCCGCTTTCAAGAGGTCTTCGTGACCAGTGGTGGGCATCCCTTTGTTTGCGGCCCGGTGGCCTGGATTGCGGGGGTGGACTTCTTGACTTCCCATGATTGGCCATGATCTCCACTAGTCACTCGTTTGTTCATGTTGTAGGATGCAGGGTATGCATGGGTATAGGTCTTGAGCTGGATCTGTTTAACACCCAAACAGCTGCTTTCAAGATCTTTCAAGCGGAAACGTGGAGGAGTTCAGATGGCTTTGGGACTTTGAGGTACGAGATAGGACGACATGGATGATGCCTTCCAGCAGGTTTCTGAGGTGTTCAACAGCCCGGCCGGCAGGTTGACATGCTGAGGTTACATGGAGCAAGACAGAGCAATGAACCACCGAGGGGTCGCTAAGGAGAAGACTCGTTCCGTGGAACTTCGGTTTCATCCACTGAGATGGCCATGGATTTCAGGTGAAGCTCTCAACACTTAAAAGGACCAAGAACACTTAGTACTATTCGGAGGTCATATTGACCATTAAAACCTTCCCCCCCAAAAGAACACGCTGAAAACTCGTGAACGAAGACTTCATCATGAGCCCGGCCCAAAAAGGTTCCTGGCATGTGCTCCGTGGCGCACGTCGCGCACGGGTGTTCCACCCCCAGGCCGCTTGGCCGCGAACGAGCCGGGTGCTGCGACGGCGACCACGCGGACGTCCTCCGGGCCGTTGCAGGCCGTGGAGGGCTTTGGTTTCGAGTGGTTTGGAGGGATTTGGGGTTGCCCACTAGCAATGGCCTCCAACCTACTAGCGATGGCCTCCAACCTACTAGCAATGGTGGTTTGGAGAGATTTAAGCTTTTGGAAACTGTGAGCCGCGATGAGCGGCTGCTGGGAGCCTGCCGAAGTTTCAAATCAGACAAGCATCCTTTGGATTGATGTTGCGGGTGGGCATTCGATCCACGTTAATTGAGAAGGTGCTTTGCGCTAGGTTTGCCAATTCAGGTTTGTTTGCGACTTACTAGAACTTGGCCAGAGCTGCATGCTGGGTTCATCAATCAGTCCAGTTTGCTTTGCCAGCTTGGAATTCTTCTGGATAATTCTGGCCGAAATGACTGCTGCTGCTGCTGCTACCTACCTACTTCAGCAAACATTAGTCCAGATCCATCAGGTAATTGCGCAAAGAGCTTGACCTCGCACCACGGATGTGTTGACACATTTCCCCAGAAGCACCACTCGTTTTCTGGGTCAGCCATGGTATTTACTTCCAAAAATGACAAGGTCTCCAAGAGAAGTATGTCCTCCCAACAGGCGCTGCGGAAGATTGAGCTCACAGATGCCACGAAGCATCCAGAGGCGGTGAGAGGGTCCCCACCGGTCGCATGGCGCGCTGAGTCGAAGCACCGGGTGCCGGCGGACTGTCCGGAGGGTTGAGGTCTTTTACAGGTCGGTGGATTCCAATTCCGCGCAGATTTCTTTGGTCGAGCCGGTCGGGGCAAAACCGACCCGTCTGACATGGGCGAGTTGTCTTTCTCTTTGAGCAAAAGCGGACACGAGGACGGCTGTCGAATCGAGGACGGCTTCCCGGAAGGGAAGCATCGATTTTGGACTGTCCCGGAACGCCCTCCGCTGGCAGGTGTGGAAGAATCAGCAACACGTTTGATACCGTATGACCAGTTACCCTCTGACTCGCTCACTTAGAAGTGGAATTCACCACCTGTTTGGTATTCGGAACATGGTCATCCCAGTGGCCGTCTTCCATGTCCATGTGATGTGTTCGTCGGAGTGTATGAGCTTTTGCTCTCCACTTGGACCACCGAGGTCAGGGTTCCCCCGTCGAATGACCCACCCGCCAGCGATGGTTTTTTCCAGGGCAAGATCATCGACTGCGCCGCCGGGGAGTCACAAGCCTATTTCCTCTCCAGCGAGGGCGAGGCCGGGCGAAGGCACTGGAGTTGGGTGAGTCTGGAAGAGGAAACCAAGTTGGTGAAAGCAAAGTGAGCAAGTCCACTCAAGTGGGCTTTGTTGCAAGACTTGCCTATGATTCATAGTGAGATTTGTGAACTAGGTTGGCTGGACCAGCACATCTTCCTCTTCACGAAACTTCTGCAGCAACACTAAAAAAAAAGCACATATCATCTTAGCAACATCCTGCATCTTATGCCGCTTCGGCCCACCACATCGGTTTGAATCGGACGTCACAACGTCGCCTTTTCCCGACGTCGTCGACCGAATCTCCACGACGTCGCCCGGCACCGGAAGATCTCTTTTGCACCATGGGACAGGCGCAGTTTCAGGCGTTCGGCATGAAAACCAGAACCAGAGGTTTTGGGTGAAAGACAACATGTGATCTTCAACCAGACAAAGCCCCCAAGTAGGAGACGTGCACTCAGTGGCATGCTTTTCAAAAGCTCTCCCAGCTTTGCTCTCAGCTTTGGTCCTGGCTGGGGGAAGATGTGCGGCACCCAGCGGTGGATGGGAAGGTGCCGGAGGTGCAGAGGAGAGGTGATGGGATTGGATCTTCTTGGATCCAATCCCAAAGACTGGCTGGCTATCATTTGGACCATTGGGGGTTTCGCTGCCGCACACCTCGAAAGCCCAAACGTCGCACGGCCCCGTCTGCGAGCATAGGAAGTAATGACTGAGAGACCAGCGGGGGAAGTGCCAGAAGAACAAGGACAAGGGAAGAAGAAGAGGGTTTGCACCCACTATAAATACCGAGGCTAACAGCAGACCCGCAAGGGCCTCGTTGGATTTTTCCTGACCTAGATAGCCTTCAGAACACTTCAGCCACAGTTGATAAATCCTTGTTGATGAAAATCCTGCGGAACCTCAAAGCTGGCACGACGTGGAACCTCCTTTGGCTCTCAGGACAAAGACATGCCTTGAGCGTCGCGAGATCTATCGCGATGTAACAAATAGCATCACACAGTATCATCATGATGATAGCACTGAATCCAGCTGCGGGTCAAGACTCAGAGCCCCAAACCAGGGTAGGTTGACCTCTTTAGTAGTCTGTTCTGTTCATTTTCGATGGTCCACCAAGGTCCCCCAGTTTTGACCCATAGCCACTTCAGCACCCATCCATCGCCGTGCTCCGCCCGGCCAAACACCGCAATCCTTGTCCTGTATAGACCCGGATCGCGCGGGGCGCCGGAGCGCGGATCCTCTTCGTGCGCGGATCATCGTGCCTGGAAGCCATGCGGATTGGAGTACAGCTGTTGAAGCGTTCGGTGGCCCAGGGGCGACAGGGCCTTCGGTGGCCCTTGGAGCAACGCCCGCCCTGTCGGGGGGTGGATCCTGGGAATCAACGTACACGCTTTCGTTGGCCTCCCAGCTTGGTCAACTGCGACAGGTCCCAGTTTCATGACCACAAAACACAAGTAAAACCCAAAGGCCCCAAAGAAAGCCGCAGGTTTGTGAACCGGAGGTGGATGATCTGGGCACCAATCTTGGGAACCTCCAAACGGACGTTCACTTTCAACTTGGACTGTGGGGTGCCAGAGTCTTCTTACATCCAGGTTGTGAAGTGGAAAGGATCATGTTTTCTTCAATCAGAGGGGAAGTCCTGATCACTAATTACTTCTCATTAGATTCAGAGGCCCTTTGCAGACAGTGATCAATATGGAAATAGAATGTCAATGGGTTTGATACTGAGGAGAAGGTCTTGGTCAAAGCAGTTGCAAGAGGTGCAGATTGAGATGTATGGATGGCTTGCTGTAACATATCATAGCTCTAGTACCCCCCCACACGCACACACACACACAAGCCTGGGCAAGTAGGACAGAATGACCCCCAGGCCCCCAGGCTGAGCCTCTTTGGACGGCGGAGAACCATGGAATCCACAGACCTATGTGCCATGGGCCATGCTCTCCCCACCGGCGCAAGCAAGGCATGCCAATGGACTTCGAGCCAAGTGAAACCATCGCAAGAGCACCTTGACCGTTCGATTGTGGAGTAAGTTTTTTATTGCCGACCCTTCACGAAGGGATCCCTTTGTGTAATCAGCTTTTGAAGTGGGTCAGTATCCAAATTGCTGACGGCAAAGGGGGTAAAGGGCCTTACTCTCATCTGAGCTTGAACAGATATATAAACTATACATGTATCCTGAAACTATCATAATATCTCTCAGTCTGTTCTCCCAAAACAGTTCGTGCTTGCTTTTTGTTGTTGTTTCTTTCACAATCGACCACCGAAACAAAGGTCGGAAACACCCAGATGTTCCTCAGAAGCCGCCAAGCTGTGTGGAGCCCCTGAGGTGAAATCCAAGCTGGAGTCCATCTTTTTAGACCAGCTGAAGAAACAAGGCGAGGAGGACGTCGATGAGGCCCAGGGAAGAAAGAAACGCATGCGACTTCCTCCTCAAGTAGTGAGCGAAAGGAAGTGACTTCTGCAGGTTTGGTGGTCAGAAGTTGAGCACTTGCATGTGGTCGCGCGACGAAGAATCCGACCACCAAGGCTGCCATGGTTAGAACCGTGCTGAGTACAGTGGTTCTGACTGGCTTGACCTTCTTTTTCCCAAAGAAGGGAGCTCTGGTTCCGATGAACTTCACCGGCAGATGTGTTTCGGTGATTGTAGAGTTAGTAAAACAGGGACTCGGGGGAACCCTTTTGGCCCCCTACCAGCAACCACTTCCTTTGCAGTAAATCCAAAGGTCAGAGACCATGGAACACATGACGAGTGACACGAGACCATGAGTCTGGGTGAACGTATATGAGTGGCTTGCAGGTGGATGTGACGCTGGTCTTCGAAGGCGAAGTCTTAGAGGACAGTCCATAGGGTAGGATGCCCCAATGGATCGCTTGAGAAAGATGTGGGTCTGGGAGAAGTCCGCGGTTGAAGTTCATGTGAGCATTCCGCTGGGTTCACAGTGGTAAAAATCATGTCTGACATCATGAGGAAAGTCGAGGAACAGACTGTGAGGTCGGGTAGGCAAGGTCTTTTTGGTCAAGGGGCCAACACTCAGTGACAATCAGTGCTGCAATATATCCAGCTGTGGAGTTTAAAGTATATAAAGGTAATTTTTGCATGTCAACACCATGAAGTATATTTCTGTTCTAGGAGGCATTTGCGCAGCCCTATTTTTCAGGGTTCAAGTCGTAGCCCTCGGAAGATCAGGGAAGCATCATTTACTTCCAGACCTAGATAGAAAAAGCACACTAGTCAAAGGTTAGGCCGCCGTAGGACTCCTCTGCGACAGCCACACTCATGAGAGAAGATTGCTGTCTCTGGGTTGACAATCAAGGATCAATCAAGGATTACTCTGGTATAGATTGACCAATCCAAGCCAATTTGTGTGGGTTTCAGACAATTCAGTGTCTGTGTGCGCACACTCTCCGCAGTCCACTCCCAACTGGACCAGCCTTTTCAGCCGTTTCCGAAAACGGCCGGAGGAGGAGCAGACCTTGGCCTCGGCCGGGCTGGTGGAGAACTCCACCCTCGTGGTGCTCTCGCGCACGCTGGCGGAGGCTGACCCACCGGGCGGTTCGACCCGTGGGGATGTCTGGGCGGAGACCGACGTGGTGATGTCTGGTCTTGGTTGAAGAGTGGGTTGGGGTGTGGTTGGTTTTGGTGAATGATACTGGTATGATATTGGTTTTGGGTGGGTGAAGGGATGTTCAAGTATTGTAGGAAAGCATTTATGAGGCCAACAATGCAACAATGCAACAATGCAACATTCATTTTGGGGCCAAGAGGTTGAGTTATCACAAAGAGGCCCTAAAAACATATATATATATATATATACATATATACACAGTATATAAATGTAAACAAAGGCACTCACTTAGATATACTTAGATAATTATCTTACTTGACAATGTGTGCAAAGAAGCTTTGAAGGAGATTTCCCTGCGGAACCTTGGTCTGAGCGGGCTCGCCAGGTGCATGGGAAGCACAGCGGGGTCTTTTCTGTGAGGCTCGCCAGATGTGGCTGTTGCCGGTCTAGCGAACCTCGCCGTGGGCGACAACGAGTTTTCAGACAAGTTGCTTTATATAATGTGTTCTGTAGAAGTTTAGAGGGATTTCATCTTCATGAAACAAGTGTCGGGTGGACCTTGCCCAGAATCCTTTTCAAGGCAAGCATGATTTGTTGCAACTGCATTCCATGATGGGAACATGGGTATAAAAGGCCCCCGTTTCAGGTTGATGTTGGTGTTTGGAAAGCTGACTCTTTTTGGGCCGTGTTTGATGCTTGGCCGGTTCAACCAGCAACATTTGTTCAATATCCGCTCAGAAGGACCACCCGTACTTAGAGGAAAGATCAGATACACAACCTTTGGCCCGTTCTTGTCTATAGATGTTGACCATTTCTCCGGATCTTTGGAGGGGATCTCCCTCCCTTCCGCGGGACGCCGATGTGGACCGGAAGAGCTGGCGGCCAGGAAGGCCTTCGAAGAGCTGGCGCAGAGTGGGCACACTGGGCCCGAAGCAGAGATCCAGGCCGGAGAACGCGAGCCCAATCGAATCCTCTTGAGGACTGGGGTGGGGTTTTGGTGACACACTGTCACCGTTTTTTTTAACCACAGCCCTAGAAGCAGGAAAGAAGCGAAAGACATGTTCCTCCCCCCCATCGGAGGTTGCGGCTGGCCGCCTAGAAGTGGAGGTTCCTCCCGATGCCAACCGGCCGTGGAGGCCCTGAAAACTGCTCCGCCCTTTAGCATCTTCTGCAACCTCCAGGCAAGCGGCATGCGTTCGGGTGTGGGAACAGCTTCACCCAGTCGTGCAGGTGGTAGGATCAGTGCGACGGCCGGACGCTTTCTTTTTTGGATCTGATTGAGGAAGAGCGGATCTCTGAGTAGTACTAGGCACTTTAACAAGCCATATTGGTTGTGCTATATCATCGAACATGAAAGAAGATCGGAGGTCTATAATTTTTGTGCTGGTAGGGAACCCACACAGCATGCATGACTTTTGTGATGATCTCTGAGTGATGGACTCTGGTTCTAGGTCTTATGCAATGACAAAATAATTCGCTTCTATAGCCATGTGCCCCCAAAAGGCTCAATCAACCTTCCCACCTGAAAAGGATGGAAACTAGACTAAATAGGTGACAGGTGAATCCCATTGAATTTGTAACTGGAACTCGTTTCGTTCTCTGAATAGAAGCTCGTGCCACTTTAGTCATTCTAGGTGGCCACTTTTCACCAAGTGTCTGGACCAGACGTGACACTCAAAGGACTCGATCGAAAACGGACATCGAATGGCTGTGGTGACTTCTTCCCAACGGCTGAGCAAAACATCTACAGCCCCGAATGACGCCCAAAACACACGCAGTTCCAGTGCGCACGCTTTGTGGGTCGTTGTGCTGCCCTAGGAGTTGGGAGAGCTGGGTGCCGGTTGGGTTCTATTCTTCCACTTCGCAGCTGGGACTGATCCCGGATGGACTGATGGATGGGGTGTGGGGGGGAGTTAGTCGTTGGTTGTTTGTGTTTAACTTTTTCTTGGGTGTTGCTGGAGTCAGCACTTGCTCCAGGTGTTTTTCGATTCGAGGGCGACTGGGGCAATTGCTCGACAAAAGCTGTGGATGGAGCTTCTGCTGGGCAGTAAGTAAGAACCATCGCCCCACATGACAGGCGGCAGCTGTGGATATTTGACAATCTTTCATATACATTCATATACCATGTTCATCCATTTTCTACCCGATAGCATGGCAGAGACCAAAACAATCACAATCTTCTACATCCAGATGTGGCGTGTTTGATCAGGGGACCAACCTGTATCCTTTGTCGTTGCCAAGAAACCCAACGAGTTTAATATTTGGAGTCGCTTTCCTGACACTGGGTTTTTTCGTGCGTGCGCGGGTGTCGTACGAGGAGTTTTCCTGCGCTGACAGACAAGTGAGGTGTATTTGATGTGTATTGGAGGGTCTGTCGAACACTTGCAGATCTGGAGAAACTGCAGGTTCTCAGCGCCTGGTGCATGATTTTTCTCGAATTGTTTGACCAGATCCTAAGAATTGATGGGTTCACGGAGATGGACCGGGCATCAAGGCTACTTGGGGCTCTAAACTTTGTGGAGTTATAGAGGCATAGGATTTGACGGTTGCTGCACCCGCCCCACCTCTTCCAGCGTCTCTCCAGTAGTAGCGAGCAGTGGACCTTTAGCAAAGGTGCTCTCAAGAATCACGAACCCCAACAACCTGAAGTCACCAACATGACTCCGATGCGGATCAGGTGCGCTTTCTGGGCATTTTGTGCTTGTTCCTCTTCTGTTTGCAGTTGCCCAGCTTTTTGGTCTTTCGCACCTGGACCGCAAAAGGGACAGTGCAACAAAGCGCTTGTTTCCTCTTAGTCCCATTTGATATACCATGTATATATATATATGGTCTCATCGTCAGGCTACCTGACGAAACGAGGTGTGCGGTTGATCGGTGTGCGGGGCATGGGGAAACTTACTACATTTGGGAACCCGGACGGTTAGGTTGAGGGAACTGTTGATGTCGTATTGAAGGCATCCATCAAAGGCCTCGCGCCAGATTTCTGAAGTTGGCAGCCGAGACGGACGTCACTATACGTCACTCAAGAGAAACAATGTTCATCAAACCATTTGTGAAGAAACAAAAGACCATTTGCTTCAGCAAGCATCCATAGATAGATGAAATCAAGAATCTTGATGAAGTCCCTTCAGCCAATCATTCTTCCCATCCTTTTGAACACTTCCCCATTTGGTCGACTGAAGCTGTATGACTGCTGTATGACATGGGTTGACCTTGAGATTCGGCGATGAACTGGGAGTGGTGAGTGAGTGCCAACCACTCAATGGTTTTGTTTCAACATTAGTGTGCTCAGATGACCCCGTGTCACTGCCATGCCAGTTGAACGAAGACATCTAAGACTCTGCAAGCATTAAACATTGCCCACGTACGTTTGTTCTAAACCTCTACTTGTTAATCTCATTGAAGCATTTCTGAGGGACCCCTTTTTTGAAACCAAGCTGCGTGCCTTTCTGCTGACACCTGTTCTGGTGCAGTGTTTGCATCTCAATTACAAACCAGATCCTGACCTGGGCGTTCGAATGCCCCAGTAGAGCAATTGCCTACTGTAAAGAGTTTCATGTCTCTATTGTTGCCGATCCTGACCTCTAGAGCCATGGCTTCGACGAAACAGAACTCTTCCAACATGCAGAGCGCTGTCGTTCAATATGCCGCAGTCTTTTCGAAGTGACACGAAGTGACACGAAGGGACACGAAGTGTCGTTGGTACATGATTTATCTATCGTGGATTTGAAGTATTCAGTGGATTCTATCAGATGTTCTTTTTTCGCCTATGGAGTTGACTGACATGTCCCGAAAGTCATCGTATCATCCGACCATGTCGGGCTTCCCTAGCCTCGGGACTCCCGACGTCCAAGCCTCGAGGATCAGCGGGTCCCTCCGCTAACCTCGTTCCTCGCGGCGGCCCGGACGAGACGGCCGCGGGAAGCCTCTCAGGATCCTTTCCAGAAGAGGCCCTGGAGAGCTGGAGGAACTTCACACATACCAAGAGGCCGGTGGGTTGCATTAGCGTCCGAGGAACTTCATCACTGCAGAATGTCTAGGGTTCTAAGACTGTCGCAAGGGAGCTCTTCTAATGTGGGTCTTGGTCCGGGTCCTGGTCTTTCGTTTTTTTCCCTGTCAGCCTCTATCTAATGTTCAATCATGGTTTAGGTTCCGGTTTTCATATTTGGTAAGTGGCTTTGTACGCACAAAAAGTATCCAACAAAAATTGGGCATCGAAAGCCAGGGCCAGATTCGGAGTCCAAAATTATCAACAACCCTGAAAGCACCCTGGACATCCCTGGACTAAACACTTGCTGCTTGCTTGTTTTGCAGTTTCGAATGGGCCAGTTGAATAATGAATACTTGAATACTTTGACATGCTTTGTGCAGTTTGTCACTCTCTAGACCCTCTAGACATGTTCACACCAGTAAGAAAGTGGCCCACACAGCACTTTTATTGATTCGTTCTAGTAGCAACGCGTGCATCTCTGGTCTCTGATGCATGCTGTGCCATGGGGATGGTGTGATTTTGCAACTCTTGATGTGACTTGAATGAGGCGCTAAAGAGAAAGGTTTTCATCTCACACCACATTTTCCGGCGTTGCCACGGACGTTCCAAAGAATTCAGCAACTCCACACCCACGTTGCACCCATGTTCACTTCTATGGATGCTTATTTCTGGTCCTGGACAGACTCGAAAAGAACGCGCCTTCCCGCGCCGAACGCACGGCGCCAGGGATCGGCCCATTCGTTGGGACTACATCACTGCCGGCAACACGGGGCCCCAGGGCGCCGACTCCTCGTGGTACGGTCGCCGAGAGTGGTCCGAAGGTGAACAACCGGGCGGAAGTAGGCGGCGGGGTGAAGGAACTCGGGTGAAGGTGCTCTGAGTTTTCTGAAATTGGGACGGCGGACATGTGCCATGTTCGGGCTCATGTTTTTTGATGGCTTTTTCGCTGGACCAATTAGTGAGGTGGATTTGTCTTGGAATGTGTGTTGCATATATTCTGCGCTCTGATAGCAGCAAAGAGGACATATATCAAATCGTTTCAATGAAAGGTACCCCCCCAAAAGACGAATCAGCCGTTTTTTTAGGTTTCAAACCGATCGAAATAACCTTGTTGCTTCGGGTCCTGCGCTCGCATGCCGGACTTTTGTCGCCCTAGCGACTTAGGCCCTGGCTGTGTGCTCTGGTCAGCGCATTAACCATGCTGGTGATCTTGCCCCAATATGCAAGGCCCAGGGGCATCACCTGGGTAACACTCAGCAGAACCGCAGCAGACTTTGGCTTTGAATGTATGAAAAGCAGAGTTCTTTCATGTTCTTGGGGTGAACAACTCTATTATTCCATCCCCTCTTGATAGGAGAACTTTTACTCGAACCACACGTCAGAAGGTAGGAATCCAAACAGGAATGGCACAAGTTGTCACAGTCAGGGCACCATCGCACTGTTAGTACAGGGTGCAAAACTGTTCATCGCACTTGTTCCACTTCCGGAGATCGTCAGCGAAAAAGATACCCAAGAAGAAGAAATCTTGAACTCGCCTTCTAACAGCCTGCTTAGATTATCGCTTTCCATGGAGAACTTGCAGGTCACCAAAATGCCCACGGGTTTCCTTGGAACATCGACCACAACGGTTGGGTGTCTCCCTGTGACCAACCCGGTGGTGCTCCACTACGAACAAGGTGCATCGCTACTAGTAACCTACTAGTAGCTTGTCTTCTTGCTACTAGTAGTAATGCCAGGAGCTACTGGTAGCTTCTTGTTACTACTAGTAAGGTACCTAAGCTACTTAGTAACAAGTTCTGCCACACGTCTCCCGCGGAGGTGGCAACATCGGCTCCGCGAGACCCTGGACCGACGACAGGCGCGACGCTGGACGACGAGCGGAGCGAAGGGCGGTTTCAGGGATCGGTTTTTGAGCGGTTGGACACTGAAGCAATGCATGGAAGTGGAACATGTGGAACTCAAGCTGCTTGTAGAGGATTGAACATGGATTTCCAACCATTGAACATTGATCATGGATTGAACATGGAAGTGGGATTGAATCGGATTGAACATGGAACTTGATTGGAATCTATTGAAAGGATGCTGATGGAGAAATGCTCTCCAACACTGAAAAAAGATCTATTGAATCTACTGGCCACCTAAAAAATGGCGGTCCATTGGCTATCCTCATGGCTCATGATCATGGCTTTGGAGATGTTTGGATCACGTCACTGGGTCGCGCGCGCGCGCGCACCTGCTCTTTGGTACGAACGTCACGGCTTCATTCCATTCCATGGGCTCGGAAGGCTTGGTCATTTCCAAATGCGAAAAACCTGCACCAGCGCCAAAACCGGATCCAGCAGCGCCAAGAGAACCAGACCTTGAAGACATGAGAAGCAACGGCCACAGATCCTTTGGGTGGGAACTCCCATGAAACAGCAGTGCGTTCGTCGCTTCGGCGGGTTCACCGGCTGAAGGAAACTAGTTCACCTGGTGTGAAAGAAAGAAAGGGTGTCAACAAGGCCGAGGGAGAACCCTGCCGATAGCACGAGAGCGAAGAGTGCCAGGGAATGCACAGTCACTATGTTGAATAGAGATCATGCAAGCTTCTGAAGCAAAGGTCACTCTTCTGGTGTGAAAGCAAAAGCCTTTATTTTCACAATTGCAGATACTATCTGTGGGCCACGCCCTCCAGCGGCACCAGCACCCACGCTCCACACACTGCCATAGACATCTAACAGCGGCACCGGCACCCAGCGCACACTGCCATAGATCTCTGGCAGCAACACCCTGCAGTGGCACCCTGCAGCGGCGCCAGCACGCAGGCTCCAAAGCGGCCAGACACAGCTGGCAGCACCTTCAGCGGCACCCCTATCCACACACAGGCACAGACTCCTATACTTGAAGCAAGACTCCAATAGCTCTTGCAAGAAAAGCAATCTCTGGGAACGATGCGTGAACGTCCTCAGTGCACTTCCATCTGAGAGTTCTCACAAGAGGATGAAACACTCTCCAACCAAGCGACCCTCCAGCAACCAGGATGGCTGCCCACTTCTACATGTCCATCAGTTCCACTCAGCCGATGGCTGAAGACATATTCATTTTTGATTCCAAAAGGCAAATGACTTCGACTTCAAGCTAATCCGAGTGGGTTTCCATCCAAGATTGAAGTCTTGGAATCCTCAAATTCAATCACATTCTTCTCATTCGACTCAGAGCTGAAGGGGTGGAACACAATGTGGAACATATTTGCACAGGATTGGTCCCGGTTTGCTTTGCATCTTCAACTGCTTTGTGAAATTTCTGATTGGTCCCGGAGACCCAGCTTGGGCGGCGGTGCCCTGCCCGAACAGCCGCTGTCTACCGCTGCAGGTCGATCCCGACGACTTCGCGCTGTTCCTCGACGGCCTCCCCTCAGATGCCAGGCGAAGTCGGCGTTCGCGAAGGGTGTCGAAGAACGTCGCCAAGGGCTCGAAGCGGAGGTTCTCCGTGTTTGACATGGTTCCCCTTCTGGTGTTTTTCGTCTTCTTGCGGAGAACATATGGATGATCCGGGGCGGAAGCAGGTGTCCTTTTGGGGCTGGAAGGGAAGCTCGGATCCATTCACAGAAGAATGATAATTACAAATCATGTTGTTTTGGCTTCTGTTCAGCATTTGATTTCACTTCCGCAGAACTTGCCATGAACTCTTACAGAATCTCGATTGTGAAAAATGGATGGCTGGTTCAAATAAACAGCTAACTTATGAAAGTACTCAGTAGTATATAATTTCTCCAAAGTGGCCGCGTTACAAATCTCTGCTCCAACTGGGAATTCTTCTACTGTAAGAAGCTCTCGAACAAGTTCCACCGGGTGGACATGAACCCCCACATTTTGTTGCAGCCCCTCTAGGGTCTTCCACATGGAGCCGTCCCCGCCTCACCCTTCATGTTTCTTGAGGAAAGCAACTGCATTTCAACTAAAGCACTCCATCTTCTCTCACCATGTGACCATCCGGATCTCTTCTCGCACCACTCCTTCCAGGGACGAGGACGAGATCAAGGCCTTCGTGGAGACTTGGAGCGAGGGAACCAGCGACCAAAGGCATGGGCCAAACAAAGGCGCCCACACAGGGCGCCACAGGGTGCCAGCCTGGAACCTTGAAGAAGCAGAAACAAGCTATAGAAGTGTTTCATGTTTTTGCTTCAACAATTGATGTCAAGAACCATTTGCATATACCGGCGTATACCGGCAGTTTGACAAGCCAGAACTTCGTCAGAACAGTTTCTGACGAGCTCCCAGGTCTATAATCCGCTGCGAAGGTGTTTCCTTTTGGGAACGTGTTGGGACGGACGTGCTCACGTGACGTCGTCATGTGAGCCACTTTTGTCACTGGTCGTACGGAACATTTCTCAGAGTTGCAGAAGATTTTGTTGCAACTTGCCGTCACTGAACTGAACGAATAGACATGAATATCATAAATAGGCACAAGTCCAAGCTCGGTGGAAAGGAACGCCCACCGAGCAAGGGCAGAGTCCCCGATGCTCTTCCCTAGTTCAGTTCGCTCCCCGAAGCTGGATGGAGGTTTGAAAGGCAATGGTGCATGCATTCGACTTGTTGGTGTGAAACATGAGTTGCATACTTAGCATAAAACAACGTCGTTTGCTGAGATATTGGCATGGCATCGCAAAAAGTTGTTTTTGCTTCGTAAATCGCCTTGAAAGACCAACAGTTTCGACATGCAGCACCCGTTGTAAGGGCCCGGGTGTTTACACCACACATAGCAAGGGCCCGGTGTCCCCTCAGTCCTCAGTGCTTCGGCCTCCGCCGCTTTCCGCCGCTTTCCTAGGAGCAACATGGGCGTGCTGGAGAGCACACAGAGGTCGTGATGGCGGCTTAGCAAAGCAGTTTTGCGTGGACACGGACCAAACCACGGTGAATCTGCCAAGTGGGAGGCCCAAGCGCCCAAACAGATCCATCTAAAGTTCTTTTTCTTGCGAGTGCGCACTTGGAAGTCTATTCGGAATGAACAAACAGGGCCACCACAGGAAGATGTGGGCCACGCGGAAGACGTGGACGTTTGAGAGCCATGTTCTTATCTACGCAGTGGTGGCTGCGTAGATGGTGGCCGCTTCATCAGCACCTGGCCGTTGTTGGCAGGGCAGTCGAAGAAGAAGGGAATAGAAGTGAGAAGCTTCATGACTTGAGGTGGTCATCGCCTATGACATGGAGGTCTTTCAGACAATGCTGAGTGATATCAAAGAAGCCAAAGAGGAGCCTCAGGGTGCTTGGAAGAAGAAGAAGAAGAAGAAGAAGAAGAAGAAGAAGAAGAAGAATGAGAATGAGAATGGCTCTCCGGGAACCCTGAAAGAAGAACCTTCCACAAAACACAAACAAAACAGATACACCGCGAAAAAAGTAAGAGGCGCAACTCCAATCATGCGGAGAGCGCCATCTACCCTACCCAAACGTCAAATTCAGACCACTGCCAAAAATCGCGGTTATGGATCCGTGACTGATGAGATCTTGAAACATTGCGCCATCTACTTGCATTGCCAGTCACTAGACAAATGCTAATGCTACTGTAAGTTCATGATTCTTTGCAAAGATGAGGCCATTCCATGATATGCACTCTTGCCCCTCTAAAAAGTATTGAGCCATCTACTCCCTCATGATTTAGCTTTGCAGACGATGGGTGAACGAATACTAAAAAATCACGAAACCTGACAAAAACCACCTGTTTTTCCCAAATTCAACCTTAAGACAAAAAAATCGGGACGGTTCGATTTCAACAATCGCCTTTGATCGAGTCTACTCGTGCCGTTTTTGCTTGGCATCCCTTGTGTGGAGTAGATGGCGCAACTCAAGGAGCGTACAATGCCAAGTAGATGGCGCAACTCAAAAACCCTGTGCCTTTTACTTTTTTCGCGGAGTAGATTGTGATCTCTGTCGTTACTCTGTTGTTGCATTGACTTTGTATACTCTTTTCGCTATGACCATGTGGGAATCAGCGAAGTGGCCAATCTGCTCAGCTGAATCGAGTCAAGCCCACAGTCCGACAGTAGGTGGCGAGCGAGGCTCCCTCGAATTTCTCCCTTTAGAGGTTGTAGCAGGGAGTAGAAGTAGAAGTATATAGTAGAAGAAGTCTGCCCAAGCCAAAAGGACGCCAGCCGAGCCCAGTTCGGAGCAATTCCTTGTGAGATACATCTCAACAGGGGTGATGAGTATTTGAAACATTGAAAGCTATTGGAAGTTTCCAAAAACATTCTATCGCCTAGGTGATGGACCTTTCGCCACATCCCAGTTCGAGTCCTCAGGAGCTGGCAGCTTGTGGCTCTTCCGCCCCGGAGCGAGGCGCCTTGCTCGAGCGGCTCAAGGAACTGCGCAGACCCTTTAGGCCAGACCGAGCTCGACGGGTCATCCGGCCGGGTCGGTCTGGCCCTTGGGGAGATCCCATGATCCCATCTGGATGGCAGTCGAGCGGCTTTCAAAAGAAGGAACCTCTTGGGTTCTACCTCTAGCAATCCAATCTTCCAAAAGATTGGGTATGATGATCCCTATTGGATTCAGAGCATTTTTATAGATGATCTCTGGAAGGTTTTATCCCATCTTCACTGAGATACCATGGAGGAGGAGTGTTTTCCTTCGAGATCATTTGACTTGATACAAATCCTTTGACAAAATCGACATAGTTGGAGAATGGGGATGAGGATAGGGACATTGCTTTGATGTGGCTGCATTTAGGGATTCCATTGAAGTCTTCAGTGTTCCACCCTCGCTCGCGCCAAAGCCCAGCCAGGTCCTCCGAGGCCCTCCGGTCAGTGCTGCCCTGCACAGGCACCGACACCCGTTTGTTTGGTGTTTTTTTCGTTTTTTCCATGAGTGCACGGCATGGGACATGGTAGGATTTAGTGCTGCACTGATGGAAGAGCTTGACACGCACGCCAGATGCCCATCTCCGCTGGCACGATTTCTTTCATCAACCGTACTATGATGCATGACCACAAGGCCTCATGACACGTTTTCAGCAAGTTGAAACATTTGGTGTACGGTGTAGGGATATATTATATATATGATATATGGGTCAAAACAACAAAGCTCCAGAAAAACCATATGTTGTGGTCATGTTTCCCTTCTAAAGGGGGTGGGCTTTGGCAGTTCTTTTTGATTCACATGTGAATACTCTACATTCTCTCCTATCGCAGCTCTTCTTGAAGAAGCCCACCAAAGACCTCTTGCAACCAGCTCATCAGCTGGTGAGGCAGTCCCATCCTCGCTAGTGGTTTCTTGGGATAGCTGGTGGTTTCTTGAGCGACTCTGGAGCGGCTAGGTGTTCTGCTGGACCAGCTGGGTGGGGGATCTGCTGGACTTTAGACCAGACCAGCAGCGATGCAGGACAAGCCGTGGTCATCTTGAGATCTCAAGAAGATCATCGCAACTTGCCTCTATAGTATGATAGTCGTGTCGCTTCATCCGGGTGACAGAGGTTGGCCCCGGTGAGCGAGTGTAGGGAATGCATAGCATGCTTGGTGGGGCAATGTCAGCTGAGTCTAGGTATGGTACCCATTCCCTCAATCCCCACTTGAAAATACAGCCACTCAGACCATATTCACCTGCCCCGTGTCCTTGAGCTATGGGTTGTTTCATTTTGGATCCGAGTCCTGGTGCTGAACTGCAGCCGGACCAAGATTTGAGGAAGAAGGTTTGTGTTCACCTCCAGTGGGATGAAGGCCTCATGCGGTAGGAGAAGCAGATTTCTTTGCCCTTCCAGTGCAAGCAAGAGTCGCTTCTCTTGCCGATTGATGACAAGGGCCAGAAAGCACGTGCTTGCCTTTTCAGCCAGTGATCCCACTTGGACCATTGGAAGAGGACAAGACCGCCGTGCCAACTCTCTCTCTCTCTCTCTTGTAGAGTAAAGCTCAAAGCTCAGGGATCCGGGAGTGGTGCTCGTTTCCTCGGCTCAATTCAATCTCATCAGCGCATCAGGAGAGGTCTTGGAGCAATGGGACAACACCTTTGATCCTTGTCCTGAAAGGTAGGAAAGCGTTGACAACTAATAGTTAGTGGGGTGTCGGTATGTATCAAACAGGTTTTGTCAATTTGTTGCTTTCACCTGTCCTTTGTCGAGTCCTCCGTTCGGCGGTCGCATTTGTGGTCGAAGGCCTAAGCGCGCCTGCCAAGTCTCCAGATCCTAGAATCCAACGATTTCTCCTCGCAGAACAAGCAATTTTCGTGAGAATTCCATAAAACTTCCAGTTCAGGTAGTTTGGTGATTCCCTTCCTCATCCTGCCACGCACGGTTTGTTTGAGACCGAGAGAGGCTTCATAGATTGCATAGATTCCAATATTTTCACCAATGGCATTGAAAGTCAAAATCAAAGAAGTTGTGGTGACCGACCTTCAATGTCTTCAATGTGCCTGTTTCAGTTTGGTGAAATATGATGATTCAGGGACGATTCATAGAACCCCTCAAGGTCTTTGCATATTAGAAGAACCAATGGGTTCTGATCTAATACCATCTTCCCTTTATTTTGGGGGTCTGGCGGGCAGGGGTATTTCATTGAAAGACATACAGTGACACACCCAGATATCAGTACCCTTCCAGAAGGATGATCAGATCGACCCTCCCAAGAAAGAGGTTGAACTCCTTAATCTTCGACATCCAAATCGGCGGCGGTGCTTCGGGGGCTTCCCAGAGGGCTTGTGTTGTTCTCTGTGGCAAGGAGTGGCTCATGAACCTCACCCAGTGCCTGAAGATCAATAGTTGGGACTCTCAGCACCCTGCGCTGCGCTCCGCGTGCCCTTGAGAGTGGCACCCTCTCTGGTGGTGGTTTCCTTGTTGAGCGAAGTCAGGGATTCTTGACGTTCGATTCTTCTAAAGATTCTTACATCGCGACTTAGGGATGGGCAGGGTTGAACGCAAATGTTTGCCATGAGGTCGCACTACACGGTTTCGCAAGAGGCACGTGGCGCCTCGGCAAAATGGGGCCTTGGGTAAGTGTACCAGGGAGACCCTTGAGCCTTGGCGATCCCATTTCTTGTCCTTCTGTTTGTGGGTTTCCACATTTTTTGGCTTCACTGCCTTCAGTCCCCTGTCTTCGACTAAAGATACTAAAGACACATGCTGTAGTTCGCATCCATAGGAAAAAACAGTCTTGTTCAGAGTGACCCACGCCAACCACCACTTCTAACGGCTATCTTGCACGTCTCATTTTCCACCCGCAGGTAGAAGAACTCACCGCTTGAGAAAAGGACCGCTTACTTCCATTGGGTATTCACATTGGGCGGTTCCAGGTGATGCCGGAAGAGCGGCTGTTTCGGCTATGAACCAATTCTACCTCCATGCGGTTCACCTTCCTTCCGCCCAGTTCTTTTTTGCTCGCCGAGGTGCGGATCACACGCGCAGCGAACCCCTCGGACATCTTGTGGGAGAATTTGACGGCCTCGCACCAGACACGTTTGTGGCTCCGGGCCAAGACCTACGCCTTTGTGGGGCTGTGACTAGGCGGAGAAGGAGGACAGAGGAGGACAGAGGAGGAGGATACATTTTGACTGCATGTAAGGTTGATAAAGGTTGATTGATTGTAGTTTTTGGAGTTGGATTCCGAGTCTTTCTTTTTTGGTCTTTCTTTTGGGCCTCCCGCAGGAGTCGCAGGTGGTTGGGCCTTTGATCGATCGAGAACGGTGCATCCGACGTTCCGACGTCGGCACGCGGCGTCAACTGAGAACCCTGGCTGGCTGTTTGGTCCTGGTGGTCGCGATCAACCGGATCATGGATTATTTCATTGGACACAAGGCAGGGACTACTTCGCCGCAAAGGGTTCTGGGGGTCAGTCGACTTGGGTTGTGATTCAGAACCGTTGGAGCATTGCGGGTTGCTAGATGTTGCCAATTCCCGTGCTTGAGCGTATGCTCACTCTGTCCTAAAGACAGACCAGAAGTATTGGGTCCGAGAAATCCATCTGATTTGAGAGAATACAATTCCAAAGGTGCCCTTGAATGATGAATGCAGTGCGACAAGGGGTTGGTCAAGACGGAGGCTTTCCTCAGTCGTAGTGAGGTTCTGTGAGTTCTGCAGAAGCAGATGTCCAATTCTCAGCTCCACTAGACTCAAGCCCTCCCTGGGAGCTCCGTTTGTCCAGCTCCGTCAGAGGAGTTCTGTGTGTGAACTGACCCGGAGTTCTGTGTTTCCTCCACCCTAGTAACTTCTTGCTACTAGTAATGGCCTCCAACCTACTAGCGATGGCCTCCACTTCCACGAACGCTCGGCTCTTCGAATGCGGCCGAGCCGGGGATCTCGTGTCAGGCGGACCGAAGCAGCGGCGCGTTGACCACGTGGCTTGGCCATTGCCTTGGGGAGTGGGTCCATTGAAAGCTTGAATGAACACATCATTCATTAATTTATTATATTCCATTATATATGTATAATTAGTAATTACTAGTGCTAGTTTTGTTCATTGTTGAGATTTGTTGTGTAGAAATCAGGACCCCCCTGCTGGAACTCTTGACACGAAATGGAAGTGTTATACCTAGACACTCCCCACAGCTTTCTTGGTGAAGCAGTTAGGTCGTCTTGGGAGGTCCGTGTATTTTTTCATGGTGCTCTTGGCACCCCACCGGTCACCTGAAATGGGCCTTTCTTTCATCCAAACGGACGACTCCAGGTCCCCAGCGAACGCTCCGACTCGAGCAGCGCTCCATCTCGTCTCGGCACCGACCCACACCACCGAGTGAGACAGGTCGCGCGCGGCGCCTCGGCGCGGAGAACGCGCGTTGTGGCGCCGCAGCGAGCGAGTGAGGCTCTCGAGTTTGCTGGTGGCCTTTACAGTGATGGGGATCCGGATTTGGGCTTCCTTGAGCATCAGGACCGGCCATCCTGGAAATCCGAGAAACGGTGCGTTCTCGGCGCGACAGGACCCAGAAAAGCTCCTGGAATAGGGATAGCAGGTCTTTCAGACAGACACAGGTGACGGCTTAATCTGGACCAAAACACCAACGTGCCGTTTGGGCAGGAAGCAGGTGATGCAGCAAAAACACATGCACCCTGGCTGCCCTGGCCTGTTCCGGTGAGACCTGGCCAGACGTCTTGGTCAATCGAATTTGGAGTATTTTTGAGTTATCCTTGCGGTCTGAGATGCGATTGGATCGTGTAGCATGGCTTGCACCCCCAGACGATCCATGTTTGGGAGACCTAAGTGCATACCATATTTTGGGACATTTGTTGATTTGTGACCAAACTACAAACTTGGAAGGTGGCAAGTTGGGAGGAGCTCAGTGGGTGACTGAAGGCTGAGAATGGGGCAGAGAGAGCGCTTGAGCCTGTACAATCCCAGGTGATCTCCACCCAGTACCAGTGAGGCTGAGTACGTAACCAGGAGGCCAACATCTCCAAAATCCCTGTAGTTGTCAATGGCAACCTATAGAGTTACTTAGTGAGAGGGGTCGCTACATGTGGCAGCCTGGTCCGAATATCAGAATAGGGCACAACTAGAGGTAAGCCACCAAAAGCAATAGGGTTTAGAAGTAACACCTTCAAACACCAGCGCACCCGCAGACTTTTCCAGTGCGCTCCGAGTGATGAAATCTTTCCTTTCCGGGTTAAGATCTCGGCTTGGCCAAGCCAGTGAATCTGAGGACCAAAACAACTCGCGACGTGTCACTGCTGGCGAAGCTCTCGCTCTTCTACTTGCGCCTCGTTGTGGTACATAAGGAGGCTGTTGGGAATGAAGAAAGGTGTCAGGTGATATTTTACATAAATACATAAATTCAGGTTCCAGTGTTGGCCGTTTGGTGATTTTGGGCAGATTCATAGTTGAGTGAAAAATCCGGAAAGGGTCCTGCTGTCGATCTATGTGGATTCTGACGCAGTGTGAAGCGATTTGATTGGTCTTGGAGAGGAAAACTGGTGATCTCGTGCTCCTTCTCGCCCCCCATGAATCAAAGGGGTTTCCATGTGTGCCCCATGTACAAGTTCCACCGAACAAAGCCGGCGCGCAGCCACCAAACAAACCAGACGTAGACCAGCCACAATAGACCAGTATCCATGTTCCTCCAACCAAAGTGAGACCTGGATTGATCCACGTTTTACTTTCTTTCTTTCTTTCTTTTTTTTCTTTAAAGATCTTTGCGATCGTATGAAGGCTTTAACGTTCGCATGATCGCTCTGCTGGACAGGCACACATGTTTGCTTGCCCAACCCAGCAGGTGCATGGACCGGACCGAGTGGTGCATAAGAATGGGCCATCACGGAAGTACCAGGAGTCATGAGGAAGTGTCTCTAAGAGGGGTAACTGATACCCATATATGGGTGGTTTATGGGGTATCCCCTCACTTGTCGTGAGCAAAGCCCCGCTTTCAAAACATGGAGGCTGGCCTTTCTTCGGTCAAGTGATCCTTCCGCCAACCCCTGAATTCGCAAAATTTAACTTTTTTGCCGAGCGCCGAGGACGTGCTACTGCGTCATTGCCATCCTGGTGAATTGGGAGCCCAGCTATTGGTGCCCGTGCCGGTGTGTATGTGCCCACGCACGGGCGGGTGCGGTGTGTCGTGCAGTGTGTCAGTGGGATTCGGAGGCAAGAGAACCACGCAGGAAGAGAAACACTGGGCAATCCTCTCCGTGGTTCTTGATCCTTCAATGTAAATAAAGATAATAAAGGTGGAATTGGCTTCAAACGAAAGCTCTTCTGGTCGTCAACCCTACCTTAGATGGACACCCACGTATTGCCTTTGAACGTAATCCTTTATTTGTATGTGCCCCTTCAAAGTTTCATCAGTCACGGGAATCTCTGTGTAAACTAGTTGACTTGTTCTCCGCCCCAGTCATGTGCCCCACAATACGCCGGTGCAACAATTTCACTCTAAGATCAAGATCCTTGGTTTGAGGATGTGGTGAACCCCACGCTCAACCGATACTAACCGATACCATGTTTTGCAGATTTACATGCTCTGGTGCCCCTTGTCCCTTTTGATGGGTGACACTATATTCAGGACCATTACGGGTGTCCATGCAGATCTCTCATGTTTGTAGCTGCAGTTTTCATTTCTTAGCGTTCACATGGTAGAGTAGTTTCAGCTGATTGCAATGTTTCCTACGGCCCTACGGGCCTACGGGTGTTTACAGTAAGGCGAGCAAGGAAGTACAAGGAGGCATTGGAAGATTCTGCAAACATGTCAAATCACCAGATGATGCAGACATCCGATGAAATTAACGAGAATATTAGCAGACTACAACTGAGGAGACTGAGGAGTAAACACAAGCAACAACATTTGGCCAAGAAAAAGCAAAGCATTGTGAAAGCAGGTCACGGTCAGAGCACCAGCTCAGAATCCAGCTCCTCGAGTTCAATGTCAGATAGCACCAAAGGAGATGCTACTCTGCTGTTTGCTTCCGCAAGCCTTTCACAAGGTACTCGCAGTTTCAAGCCCCGAACTGGAAACACAACCGCGCACCAATCAAAACGCAACATGGCAAGCCTTCACAACCGATGCTTCACAAATGACACCATCATGACATCACATTTCAAATGCCTAATTCTTCACAACCGATAGGGGACGACCCAGTTTGGCATATGGCATATTGCATGAACAAATAATTTTGTCCGCACCTCATATGACCAGGACGTTCGTGGCTGGACCAACACTTCATCCGGTGGTGGCTGGACCACAGGTGGAGGGTTTCGCCAGGTTTTGCCTTTGTCCACAGAATAGTACTTGCACCCTTTACAAGAGGCAAGACAAGAGGAGTTCACAAAGGATCTAGACATTCCTTGTACCTACAGCCAACCAAAGTTACCTTGAAATTTTCTTGCGTTTCTTGGAGGCCAATGTGTGTCTCTGTGTATGTGTGATGCGTTGCACTCACACACACCATTTTTATAGCTCCCGGTCCGTCGATGACGGGTCCGTCAATGCCGCTCGATCCGTTTCTGGACGGGTGAGGTATATGGCTGGGAATCTGGTCTCCGACATTGCCACCCTGATGACGTCGCCGGGCGAAGCGGGGGAAACGCTGGAGAAGGAGCCAAGCACGCAGTGCTCTTGAGCTCGAGCGGGGTACGATTCGTTGCTTCTCCCAGTCAGAAGGAGTCAAGCAAGTCTTGGGAGTTTCAGGAAGTGATGTACCAAAGATATTACTGTGAGTGCCCCCAAGTTTCAAGTGTGCAGGAATTTTTGCTTTCATGTTGGGATGTAGTGCTTCATCCCAGGTTCAACTGCATCACGATCCCGCTCTACATCATCTTCAGCTGCAGAGTACTCATCAGGACCCAGAGCCGATCTGCTTGGACTGTGGGAGGATTGGAAGCTTCTTTGGACGTGATAAGAATCGTCCAGAGAGGATTCCACACTTGTTTCCAAGACACCCTGCAAGAAACTTAAGGCATTCTAAGGCGTCGGTCGCACGGCTTCAGTTATGAAATCTATAAGAGTTTAGAGCAAAAGCAGCAACACTATATAGAAAACTATGCAACACACTCACGTAGTTCACTGGAAAGGTACGCAGAGGTTTGCAGAGGACGACCTCTAAACCTGCACAGGTGAGTCAATGCTCGGTTCTCCGCCAAGCATCTCGCAACTCCGTTCATGAAAACCTCAATCGATGCAAGAGCTGTCCCTGAGAACATCTGAGAACTGAGAACCAACATAATTTTCAACATGTTTGCAGAACTACATCTATTTTTGTTTATCCAACATGGTTTAACCAAACTTTATAGTCTCTTTCGGTTTCCACGATGATGACATGATGGTTTCTCCACTTCGAAACCGTGCAAACAACTTCGTTTCGAGCGAAAACACAGCGACCACGCAGATGGTAGGAGCTTCCTCCGTGATCGTCGATTGGATCTGGCGAACCCTCCACCCAAGATGACGCAGAACCAGTTCCTTGGATGGGTCTGAAACAGTTTTTGATATCATTTTGGATGGAGGATTTTTAGTTGCAATTCTTTAAAGGTGAGATATCCTGAGAATTTTGCCTAGGATTGGGGGATTTTTGTGAAGCAGGATTGGGCTCCTTTCCGCTCGTTTTGGTGGGTAGAGCCCTCCAAACTAACCCCTCTGCATGTCCGTACTCTCTTCCCCCAATCTGCATAAACAGGAAGTCGCAGCCATCCAACCGCAGGACGGTGTTTTCAGAAGAATGGGTCAAGATTGAACACTCAAATCAAAATCAATGGCAGGTAAACAACAATCTTTCGAGCGAAATCAGATTTGGGTGCTGTGACAATTATCGCAGTAGGCCAGTCGCCTCGAAGCAGCAACGCTCGACTTAGCCGAGGTTCCAAACCTTCTTTGAGCTGCCTGAGATGGACCAGACAAGGCCAGGATTGCGAAGTGCTGGACACCTGATCATTGGGTCCACAATGGCCTACATACTGTTGTTGATAGATGACTCAAAACCTCAAGGAGAACAGGATTCCTTTAATCCCACCATGATTCAACAAATGGTAATTATCAGGCAGGAACTTTTTGTACAACAAACGTTTTCTATCCTTCTCTGCTGTGAGTGAGGCCCTTTGCCAAGGTCCTCTTGACCTTCCTTATGGGCACCTCAACGCAAAAGCAGCAAGAGCGCGGCGCAAAACGATGGGAGTCAACAGCCTCCCGCGAAACGATGGAGTCTGAAAGAAGACGAAGGTCGATCAACAGCAGGTAGACCATCTCAACACTGACTGCTTGCTTGTTGCTTTGAGTTGAGGGTGGAAGGTGTCCTACAGTTCGGTTTGAATGATGTTGAACTGCACCCCGTGAATGCCTACGGCACGGGTGGTTGACCAGTACGTGGCACTCACTGGTGTAAGTCTCTGTCGTTGGCCTTTTGAAGCTCCCAATGTACATCTCAGGCTTCGTCTTTATGCCCATGTGGCCCTACGCCATCCTGCCACTGGGCTTTTCTGTGGGGGCGACGCACATGTGAGTTTTGTTTTAGATAGGACAGATCAGACTGGTGGGGGGTTCAATCCAGATCGCTCAAGGAGGGTGCATTCTTGTTCTGAAGTGCTTGTGTAGTAGCTAACGAGTACAGCAGAAATCTGTTGCTCCCCCTTTAAAAGGCCATTCGATTGCCATGTTTTCTCTACAGTCACTCCACTGACCGTGGAGAAGCCAACCAATACATCCGCCTGGTTCTCCCAAGCACACCTTTCTCTCCGCAAAGAGGACAAGAGAAGTTATGAGCAGGTGCCTCGAAAGACCAGAATATTGATCAATCCTTGTTTGTTGAGGAGTGCTCCAAGTCAACCTTCTTTAGAACCAAACTCTGAATGTGGGGTTTTGGGGATATGAGCATCTGAAAAATATTTTTGTAAAGGGCTGCCTTGTGCTCATGAGGTGTGAGCAAAACCTTCACAACTGATAGGGGACGACCCAGCACCGATACCCCTTTGCAAAACTAAGAAGTATTTAGTGAGTGTTGGTCAGTGCTCAAGAATGGCTTGTTGCAAACTGTGCCTTGTTGCTCGTGGGAATCAATCCAAGGTGCCCTTCGAAAAGAGTGGGAGCTGAACCATAGCTATTAAGAGTGGTTCTGAACCATAGCTATAGGGGGCTATATAGTAAGGTCTATCACGCCATTCACCATTGTCCAGTGAGGTTGCCCACGAGGTTTCACAAATACAATGCGTTCCGTACGACGAGACCCCCAAGACTTCAATTGATCGTGAAAAACCCAGCATTCTTTTGATGTGTTGATTTCGAAGCACCTCCAGCCATTTTGTAGGTTCTCGTAGGAGGCTCCAATAAACACGCTCGCTGGGGAACGACATCTCTCAAATATTCCATGCAGACCTATAAACGACGTCCGCATGTATGATGCGCGCGTCTCTTCGTAGCCTTCGTAGCTGGTCTGCGTGATGGTGGACAACCCTGCGACTCCGTCTCCTACTTCGTGTGGTGCCAAGACTTGCTGCCATGGGGTACGAGCAGCAGTTTTTAACCAGCACAATGGCACACAAATGGCCACTCGCGTGACGCCCAAAGTCACACCACTAGTCGTGCTCAAAGGTGGTGAAGTGGCGGCAGTTACACAGCTACCATCAGAAGAGCCACCTTGACCACACATGGCGTGGACTGCTCCAGCTGGCAAACTTCCAAAAAGAGTATTACAGTACAGTCTCTCTGGACTACTGTAGAACAAAGCCCATGGATCATGCTGCTGAGTGCCGCTCTTTCAAGGAAGGGCTTATGCTTGTAAATGCCCCTTTGTCCCTTAGGATTTTTCCAGAAGAGGAGAGGAGAGCAAGCAAGAGGAGGGGAGAGGGGAGGAGCAAAG